CCATATCAATCCATCATTGTTTCACCTAATGCGGAGCACAACTCGATCCCATCGTACAATATGAATAAATTAAAATATGTAATTAATTTAACAACTTGAATCACAAGAGACCTCTATGATTAATGGATATGAAGTAGAACCAAAAAGGAAATCTTGCCTCAAATTAAGAATCCACTATAATGAATATTAAACCGCAAGATAATTCAAATAAATGACAACTAAGGGTACAAGTAAATCATGGAAGCAGGGGAGAATCTAACATTTTTAACACGAGAACAATAAGTGACAAGTAGCAAATAAATGCACGGGAAGCTTTTAGAGCATGTAACAGTTAAGGCATGTAATGAAATATAGAAAAACAGGGAAACAAATATTTTGGCGGCGTATATACACTCGTCACCTCGCATATACGCCGCAACACATGAATTTCAGATAGCACATAGCCCAAGGGTTCCTAATTTCCTCAAATAAAGGTTAAACCCAATACTTACATCACTATGCAATAAACTCACAGTTCTACCAGGGCCTTTCCTCTAGAATACGCCTCCAAACCAATCGTATATAACCAAAATTGACTCAATAACATCAAATAATGCTAGTGAAATCAATTACAATACATAAAGTTAGGATTTTTATACTTTTCCCAAAAATTCAGAAAAAGTCAACCCCGGACTTGCTTGGTCAAAATCAGCGATTCGGACCAAAACTCATTTACCCATTCAACCAGAGCCTGATTATGTAATTAGTTTTGAAATCCGACCCCAAATTGAGGTCTAAATCCCGAATTTGCTAAAATGTTCAATTCTTCCCAAATCCATAGTTTTCTGCCTAGTATGCTAACCTAGGAAATGATGATGAATTTTCTTCTCCAAATCGCCTCTAGGCCGAGCTCAAATGGAAAGGTGGTGAAAATGAGTGAAATCACGTATTTAAAATGTTTTAAGGTCTGTGCGTCAAGTCTTCATCGCGTTCGCGAAGAACCTGTCGTGTTCGCAATGCACAGTGGCCAAAATGGCCTACGCGTTCGTGAGAAGTGCTTCGCGTTTGAGATGGTTCTTCCCTCCTGACCACCGCTTTCGCGGCCCAGATTCCGCGTTCACGTAGCACACCAACCCAGTTCCGCCAAGACCACATTACTTCGCGTTCGCAGAGGAACAACCATGTTCACGAAAGGAAAGCCCCCCTCCACTTCGCGTTCGCGAAGAACAATCTCCTCTACTTTTCCAAATTACTCTTCGCGATCGCTGGACATTATTCGCGATTGCGAAGAAGAAAACTCCAGAAACCAGCAGAAGCTAACAACTAGAATTTTCCCTTAAGTTCAAAACACTCGTAGCTAATCCGAAACTCACCCGAGCCCTCGGGCTTCCAAACCAAATATACACATAAGTCAAAAAATATTATACGAACTCGCTCGCCCAATCAAAACACCAAAATAACGCCTATAACTATGAATCGGATACCAAAACGAATAAAATTTTTAATGAAACTTAATAACTTTTATTTTAACAACCAGACGTCCGAATCACGTCAATTCAACTCTGTTTTGCACCAAATTTTGCAGACAATGCATAAATACAATAATGAACCTTTTCTAAGGTCCAAAACAAAAATCCGGACCTGCTAGCATCAAAGTCAAAGTTCGGTCAAACTTGTAATTTCTTTAAACATTTAAACTTCTAATTTTCAACAAAAATTGCGATAAATCAAGATAGGGACCTCCGGATTTGATTCCGAGCATATGCTCAATATTGACGGAAGTCAACTCAAATGAATTTTGAAGCACGATTTCACATTTTAATCAATTTTTCACACGAAAACCTTCTAGAAGAAGACACAGACTACACTCGCAAATCGAGGAAGGCTAAACGGAGACATTTGAGTTTTCACAACACAGAATTAAGGGTTAAAACTCTAGATGGCTTATCTGGTCATTACAATTTTAAGTTACAGTGTTGATAAAATTTATTGAGTATTACTTTTAAGGATGTAAAATATGATGTTTAATAATAGTTTTTAAGAAATTATGACTTTTAATCGTTTGAAAGTTAAGACGTTTTAGTAAATTTATATTTCATAGTAACTTTAAAAGTATTGCATTATTTATACTTGTAAAATGTGCTAGATGTTTTATTTTATGTGGTTCTTTCATTCTTTTTTTATTTTAGTATTTTTTTTTAATGTATCTTTTATATTATTTTTTTGTTATAATGCTATATTATTCATTCCTCGCCCCGTATTAAGTAAAGTACCCTGTCTTATGCCCTCGTCTTTTAAATACTAGTTAGAGGATAAAGCGTTTTCTAATATAAGAGACTCCATACTCAAGATCGAACCCAAAACTTTTGATTTAAAGATAAAAGGGTATTTATCAATCCATCACAACACATCTGGATACCACATGAAAATATCACAATGCATATGAATATAGTAAGATAGGAAATGCACAATAATTGATATTTCTAAAACCCACCAGCAAGGTGGATCTTTTGACTAAAAAAAAAAGATTGCCTTAATACTCTTAACTGGTTACCATATTTTAGCCAATGGTCACCTACAAAAGAGTATAAAAAGGTGGTGATTACTGATTGGGTAGATGTATCAGTGAAATAAAAAAGTTTTAAAAAACAAATGCCTCTTTCTAAATGTATTCTTGTCATTATTTGTGTTGTAGCAACTTTGTTCTCCATTGCTTTGGCTATACCAGGGACTGCGAAATATTGGTCTACCTTCCCCAGTCAACGTAAATTTCATCCTTTCAATTTATTACTCTATAAATATTATTAGACAAAAAAACTCACATTATATACACTTTGTGTAAAGAATTTCTTTACACTATCAAAAAAATTTAATTTATTATAGCATGTTAATTACTATTTTTATATGAAATTGATGCCCACTTAAATAAAAATAGTGCATCACCTTTTCTTTTTGAGTCGTTCTCTAGCGGAGAGTATATCGAAATCAGACTCTCAGCCCTTCCAGAAGTAGGGGTAAGGCTGCGTACATCTTATCCCCCAGACTCCACTTATGGAAACTACTGAGTTTGTTGTTGGGCAACAATTCACTTGTCTCATTCATTTATTTGCTTAATATTAATGGATTATTTTTATTCATCCAAACTTATTTAGTACTGATGTATAATTTTTATTGTTGTTACAGCTACGGATTGTTTTGGAAACACACCCCAAGGTACCCTCTTAGCAGCGAGTGATCATCTCGGGGGTGAATATAATTGTGGAACATTAGTAAAGGTCACATGCACTGGTACAGTGCCACACCCTTGCACTGGCAAGAGTGTTGTAGTAAAAGTTGTTGATGATTGCCCTGGATGTGATGCAACCATGCTGCTCGATAAAGCAGCCTATTCAATCATTGCTAATCCAGTCACGACACTAAATGCTATTAAGGTCGACTACGTCAATTAAATAATATATATATATATATATATATTGAAGGATTGCATATAGGTATTCGTAACACGCAGCGGAAGACAATAACAATCCTAGGCAGATCTTT